CCCCCCTCCCCCCGCCCCCCGTCCCCCGCCTGGCCTGAGTCCTCCCGCGGAATCGGCGTGAGTCCCACCACTGGCCGAGAGCGTTCAGGCCCACAGACCCTCTGGTCGCCTCGTTCCCCCAGACCGCTACACGAACCTCACTGCCGACGTTCCGACAGCTTCGCCCGCTCTGGCCTCGCACCGGAAACCCTGGGCAACCGCTGCCGGCCGAGCCGCCTTCTCCCGCTACAGCCAATCGATAGCCGGCACTCTCGCGGTGCTTGCTGGGAAAGATGAAGCGACGGCGGCCTCTGAGGTGGGGGAGTTGGGAAGGCGGGGGAGGGAAAGGACTACAAGTCCCGCCAGGCGCCGGGGCTGACGCCCCCATCTCCCAAGATGCAATGGAAAGAACTTTAGTCGTAGGAGCCGGATACCCAGGAGGTCTGAAAGGAGCTAGTCATTCTACACGGATACACGAGTCCAGCCCGTTTCTGTCATGCAGAAGTCCAAAGCCCTGCTACTGGCTGGTCTCTCCTGCAAGCCCCGACAAGCCTTACTCTCCTTTTGTGAACATCTATGACTAGGAGGAACTCCGAGGACAAGGGATAGAAGGAATTTTGGGCTGGGAATCTGGAGACATGCGTTCCAGTCCTAACTTCAACACTAATTTGCTGTGACCAGACAGTCTCTCCCAGGGCCTCATTTTCTGTATTCAAATGAAAACTCTTCATAACCATAGCAGTTCTTTGAGAGCTTACCGTGTGCTTTCCCGTCTACTAGCTTAATCCTCGTAACTACTTATCAAGAACAGTAGTATTTGTTATTCCCATTTGCATCTGAGGACAGTAAGGTAAAAGATAACTTTGTCACATCGTTAATGAGTGGTTCAGGCAGGGATTCAAAAGCAGGAAGTCTGGCACCAGTACCCATTTTAACTACTGTTCAGTACCCTGATTCGTACCCAGGAGAAATAACCACGGCACACTTTCCCTGAGGATGAGTCAAGGTAGTTTGTGAAATTATTTCCATCCCTTCTCCATTACTAGCCCTAGTCCTTCTTTGGAAGGGTCTGTGGGGCCTCTGCAAGCAGTTTGGCCACAGCAGATTCCTGAGCCTTTACTTTGACTGGCCCACCCTCTACAGACAAAATCCCAGTTGCACTGGGCTAAAGCGGGGGAGAACCCAAACTTTCTCCAAACGTGAGATCAGTTCTTTTTTCAGCTGCCTATAGATAAGAGAAAAACAGCCAACAACCCACGTGCCTGGAATTTAATGCCTAAATGATTTGACTTTTGTTTCCAGCCAATTCTGTCCATGCCCTCTGCCTTTTTTGCTTCCAGTATACTCTCAATCTTTCCAGGATTTCCGTTTTTTCAGGTGCTATTCCAGCTTTCAAAATGCCCTTCTGGCAAAAACAGTATTTTTAGGCCCAGCACAAAGGCCACTTCACTTCAGAGCCTTCCGGGTGCTCTGCAGTCTGTCACAGCTCCTCGGTCTGGATAGAGCTCTGTAACAGCATAGTAATGGGATGTTGAAATTATTTGCTTACAAGTCAATGAACATTGTAAGAACTATTGGTTAAATTCTAGTCCTACAGCCTAGCATCAGTCTGGGGCAGTGAGGTTGAGAATGAAGTTGTGCAAATCGGGCATTGTTTTGGGGCTCTTCAAGATGTTCAGTATTTTCCTCAGACTGCAGGACAATGCTCTTCTCCATCCCTTAGTCTGCTGTTTACCAGGTAACATTGAGAGTCAGTGTGGCTGAAGGTGGAACTCAAGCCAGAAGGGTTTGGAATCCAGGTCTCTGAGAACCAAGGCCCTGATTATTTCCAGACAAACATGTTGGAAATCTCTTGAGGAGGTAACATACAAATCAGGCCTTGATGGATTCCCATGGGAAGAGGGTGTTCTAGGCAGAGATAAAAGTATCATAAGAACAACATATGCATGGGGTGATCGGTGGAATAACGTAGCCAGAAGGATCAACAGTGGCCTACAGGGGCCAGCTGGGTAATGAGTAGGCAGGCAAGGAATAAGAAAATTTGAGAAACATGGGTTGAAAGTTATTTTCTCCTTTGCTGTAAAAGAAAATAGCAATATTAATACCTGCCAGTCAGTCAAGGAGACTGGAATGGTGGAGATTGTGGTAAAATAGAGCTCGTGCAGATTGTTTTCAAGCAGAAACTCAGACCCAGTAGTGCCAGCTTATTTTTCAAGATAGATCTTAAAAAAAAAAAAAAAAAAAAAATGTTAGCAAGGGGGGCCCCTGGATGGCTCAGTCGGTTAAGCGTCTCTTTGATCTTGGCTCAGGTCATAATGTCGTGGTTCATGGGATTGAGCCCCGCGTCGGGCTCTGTGCTGACAGTGTGGAGCCTGCTTGGGATTCTTTCCCTCCCTCTCCCTCAAAATAAACATTAAACATTAATGTTAACATTAAACATTAATGTTTAAATAAACATTAAACATTAATAAACATTAAAATCCTCCTTTTGGGTTGAATCAGCTTTTTGGCTGCTTGTTTGTAATCTCTGTCCTGGAACTGATCTAAATGTGAGTAGGGCTCAAAGGGCTATGAGTGGGGCTGATAAAATGTCAAAATCCTATAAACTCTAGAAAATGCAAACTAAAGTACTGTGACAGAACACACAGCAGTGGTTGCTGGGGGTTGGGTGGGGAGGAATTCCACAGGAGCTTGTGGAGAATTCTGGAAGTGATGGGATATGTTCACTGTCTTGATTGTGATGGTTTCATGGGTGCATATGTCAAAACTTATCAAGTTGTACATTTTAAATATGTACCATTTACTGTATGCCAATTATATCTCAATAAAGCAGATTTAAAAAAATTCTTTGTAGCAGGAGTAAGCTGCTGCAATCCTAATTCCATTGTTAGGCCCTAAGTTTAAACACCCTTTCCTCATTCACTTCCAAAAACTCCAGTTTAGGATCATTCCAAAGAAGACAATTTAGAACTTTGCAACAGGTTTTTATTTTTGCTTTATATCTAGTACAGTGTTTGAAACCTAAAGAAATACATTTTCTCTTCAAATTTGGATGTGTATATAAATATCATTTGTCTGGACTCAGCACACTCAATGCCACGGCTTCTTGGCCTATGTCTGCTCTGAAATCATCAAGCTTTGTCTGTCTACCCAGGGGCCCTGAGAACATGGAAAACAGCCAGAGTTTATAGTTTTTGGAAAACTAAAAGCAAATGAATTTGGAAAGAATAAACCAGTGAGGAAAAAGTTTCGATTCAGCTTCCTAGGGTCTTTAGCTGGGAACCCAAGCTGTTTTTGAAGGACATCCAGTCTGTCTTGGGTGGCTGGGACCTCATACCACCTTCCCACCCCCCATGCTTCTTCAGTGGTTCAGTCAGATAGTTCCCACAGAAGCTGGCTAAAAGAGACAGTACCTAGCTCCAGGGCCTGAGAGTTCTTGTAGAGGTGGACTCATTAAAGACATCCTGAGTCGGAGGTTCCCAGCCAGTCTCTGGATCTGAGCTTTGACTTCCTTCACTGCCCCCAAGGCATGGCAGAGTTCTCTCTCCCCAAACCCAAGGGCTGAGAATCTAACCTACACAGGGGAGCAAGTCTGGCCGTTCAGGTATGTGCTAATGTGAACATCAGCAGTCAGGCTGGCCCAGAAGTAGCACGGTAGGCCCAGACCCACTGGAGACCTTTGTAACACACTACACAAACCTTTTCCTGGGTGCTCTGGGCCCAACCCAAAAGTTAATGCTGACTCCCACACCTAGTTTTGGTTCTACACATACCCCAGGCCTGATGCAAAATGCCATCTCAGAGGAAAAATAACAGCTTTAATTCACAGACTTGACTGATATGATGGACTTCAAATTCTTCCCTTATCGTGGTCTTAGTGTGGGGGTGGGGCTAGGGGGTAGACAGTGGGATGACTGAATCATTTATGAAGGCCTTGGCCAAAGAGCAGCTAGTGTCTACCACATGGATCCCCGCAGGGCCAAATTCTCAGCTTGCTGGCTTAACAAAAGAATTCAAAAGTTAAAACAAAAAATACTGGACAAGATTGGTCTACAATGTGAAATCCTAAACGGCTGTGGAAGAAACCTACTCTGAGCAAATTCTCAAGTCTCACGCACTCACTTCTAGGATAGTCCTACCTGGAAGATGTTGCTGCTGGTTATGAACACTTCCTATGGTTCAGCACACTGAGCCTTGCACCCTTCCCTCTTCCAGGGAGGCACAAAGGCACACACAGTCCTGAGGCCTCCAGCCAGTTCTCCTTACAGCTCCCTGCCTTCAACTCAAACTCCAGAATCTGAGCTCACAAGATGAATCTACTGAGGAGTCAGAGATGATGGATACCAAGCTGAATGAGTCTCAGGGAGGAGATGTGGCCAGAACAAATGAGCTGAGGCCTCCAAAGAAGGACACTGTGGGAAGAGGGGTAAGTACTGTTAGGTGTTCATCTCCTTCCCTTCTAGTCTGCTAGAATGGGTAACTCTACGATGTAGAGGAAAGGCAGGTAGTAGACATGAGAAAATGGAAATCCAGTTCATTCTGCTAAGATGGTTTTCATTTTAAACTGGTGTGGCTTGAGAGAAATAGAGTGTGCCTGAGAGCCTTCTTTTGCTCTTCCTTGACCAAGTACAGTAGCAGCTATAATCTGTGCAGTTTAGCTCCAAAAAACAGGGCTCTGGGAAAGTGGCTTCCAGGGCAAAGAGTAGGAGTAGGCCTAAGGGTTCTAGGTAAGGGGGGGTGGGGCGGGAGCAGACAGCAAGGGTTCCTGAAAGCTGAGGTCATCAATGCCTGCTCCTCCGAAGGGTCATTTGTACACAATGCCCCAAGTAACTAGGCTGGCCAGCTGGAAGTGGAACCCATGTGGTTCTACCGGAAGGCTGTAGCCAACACCAAGGTGAGGCAGTTAGCCACTGGGGATAGCTCAGAACTGAAGGCAGGTTTCTGAGATTAGAGACTTTATTAGTACTAGAGAAGATATAGGGGGTCGGATAACCAGAGGGGCTGGCAATAAAGAAAAGCTGGCACTGTTCAAAACAGTACTAGAACACTTGAGCTAAGAAGGCGGCTCCTTGTCCTCTAATCCACACCTAGATACCTCCACCTCCACCAGAGATCTTAAAATGGATAGACCAGCCATGTGCCAACATAGGGAGATTCTGAAAACATGTCTTTTCAGGCTATTCCCTACGACAGGCTGGGGAGCCCCTTCATCCCTACAACATCCATTCAGAAATCCACCAAAAAGTGGCCTTCGACTTCACCAAGGCCAGGGTCTAGAGTCCAAGTGGGGGCTGCCCACAAAGAGTGGCTGTCAAGGCTGGGCCACAGAAATAATGTTTTGCTTCCCAAGAGGGCCAAAGGAGAGGAGGAGACAGAGAAGGTGGTATTACTGCCCCTGTGGGCTGGAAGAATCTTACCTGCTGGCTGAAAGGTAGGTTAGAGGGAAATAATGGGAAAATATGGTCTGAGGAAGACACCAACAAAGGAAAGCTCCTAGAGGCCACTTTATCTGATGAGAAATCTGTCCTCATGTTGTGCCCTGGAAGACTTCACCTTTGAAGTCCTTGGAGAAAACTGGCTTTAAGCAGCAGCCAGAAGATCAAAAGAGAATCTTCCATCTGGTACAGGCCCCAGATCTAAAGTGTAAGATTTTAGAGGCGCAGTTGGGAAAAGCAGGATGTGTATGTCTCAGAAGAAAAATCTGGCCCCAATGTCAGGGACTCAACTATTGCTTGAGATGTATAAAATAGGTCCTACTAAAGTGCTTTGCCCTTTGGATAAGGATGGGGGGCATGCGCGGGGGGCGGGTGGCTTTTCTTTGAACTGTAGGAGAATAGTTTTGTGATGGAGTCAGCTGGCTAAATGACAAGGGTCCTGCCCCTTGCCTACTTGTGGGTTGGTAGTTGTCATTCTTAAGCTGAAGAATAGCATCTGACTCACTAAAGTGTAACAGCATTGGTGTGACTTTTTAGTGACAACCACAAGCCCCAAACCACCTTCCTTAGAAAATGGTTCTGGAGTTGGATCTCAACACTAGAAGGAGAGGGCAAATTCAAGACCAATGGCCGACAGTGAGCACCTAAACTTTAGATCTGTAAGCAGAGGGGTATAGGTTTAACCTGAACCGGGGGGGGGGGATATGTGGGAACAGGAGCAAGAGTGGCACAGTCTCTGGGGAAGGGGAACTACAGCTTGGTGCAGGGACCCGACTGTGCCCACAGCTCCGCAGCTGGTCTACACTTAGCCAGCAGCTTTCTCCATCCTTCTCCCCAACAACTGGGCTCTACTATCCTGTAATCCACCAAAGCACAGGCAAGCCACTGAAGCATCACTCTAGCTTTCCTCAAAGAGAAAAGGCATTAGGATTATAACTGTCACCAGGAAGGGCAAGACCCAAACCAGGTCCAAGAATTCCCAAACAGGAAAGATACCAGTGACTCTCACAAAAGTCCGGAGGGAGGCTGCTAAGTTCTGTGATAACTGGAGAAGCAGCCATGTGTGATAACTTATGTGGACAGGGCCTTTGAGACTGAATCTGAGAAGGCAGACTGCTTTTTGGGTTTCCTAATATAAGCAGGACGCTTAGCAGTAAGGACTAGAGTGGTAGACTTCACTGGGCCCTGGGGCCAGCCTTGCTCCCTTCAGGTACTGGGACAATCAGACCAGGCTGACCTGCTATGTAAAGGTTCCAGCGCTAAGGGTTGGTCCCAGGTTGGTGGCCCAGAACCTAAGCAGAGAGGAAAAGGACCAAGCTCAGGCTCCCTGAGCAAAGGAGCTTCCCCATCTCTTTTTGGTCTTCCTCACAGTATCCTACTTCTAGAAATTACAGACAGTTCTTCCTCTTGAGACCAATTAAGATTGACCTACCTAATATATAGAATATAAAAAAATACAGAACTTTTTGACATTCTCTCCTTTGGAAGTAAAATATACATGATCCAACTATGGAAGAGGAAGAGGAAGAGGAAGAGGAAGAAGAAAGGCCAAAGGCAGGGATCCCTGGCTATCCCAATACATGACGCTCTCACTCCAGCCTCCTCTGCAACTTATGGGTCACCAGAGCAAGGACTTTCTCCTCAGGAGAGAGGAAGGCCCACAGCCCCCTGTCTCGTGCTTAGGAGAAAATACAGCTACCTCAGAGGTTCATTCAACTCCGAGGGGAATTTTCAAGTAAACAAATGAAGTTGGGTCGCACCATAGGAAGGTGGGTAGGAAACATGGGATCAGTAGCGACACATGGGAAGCCCCATCTGAAGGCCTGTGCTCCTCCCCTCCCCTCCCACTGGTGTACTTGCCCCTGGAGAGGGAAGGAGATCTCCCAAACTAAAGAGGTCTGGAAAGGGGTTAGAGAGAGGAAGGGGCCTTTGTCTCATGGTGACCTCCCCCTCAGCCTCTAGTCCCAGACCATGCTGGCAGCTGGGATTCCTAAAACCAGGAACTCATGGCTCTTGGAAAGAGCAATCTTAATACAAGAAAAATGTGCAAAAGAAAAAAAAAATTAAATAACTCAATCCAAGCATACAAGATTAATATTCTGTCAGAGCAAGAACACTTTGTTTTGGATTTCTCCCCTCCCCTCCCACCCCCCACCTCTGGAACATTCCATCTGCTCAAGTACCCAAGATAAGAGTTACACAGATCAGGGCAGAGAACTGGGAAGGATGAAGGAAGATAAAAGGGAAGGAAGTCACCACTAAAGAAAAAATAAAATTAAAAAAAGGTGCAAAATTGATTACCTCAGTCCTCCTTTGTCTACCCCTGGGGCTCCTGGGTTAAAGACATATGTGCAGCCAAAATATAGTGTAAGGAAGAAAAACCCAACACGTCCCCTTCTTGTCACAAAACCCAAATGTGAGCCTCAGATGGTTCTGTCTGTCCAGAGGGTGCTCCCTCCAGGGAAGGGGGCGGAGCAGGTCAAGAGCACAGTTTCCAGGGCAGCAGAGGTGTATGGTGGCTGATGATGGGGGGGCTGGTTTCCCGCCCACCAGAGGGCTGCTTTTCCGCTGGTTGGTGGTGCTTCCCATCCCCTCCCCTCCCCGGAGGCAGACATTATAGCTGGAAGCCCTCCATGGGGGCCTCAGGCTGCTGGAAGATGAACTGCTGTTGTGTCTCATCCACTTGGGGGGCCAGGCTGCTGTCATCATCTTCTACACCAAAGTAGTGCTCAATGAGGTCGAAGGCCTTCTGGTAGATCTCCTGGTTCTCATGGCTCTGGAGAAACTCAATTTTATCCAAGCCTATGGTGGCAAAAAGGAAGGAGGGACAAGAGTGAACTGTGATTGCTTTTCCACGGGGCCATGAAATATTTATCCGTTTTTCCTTCCTTGTGGTATGTTAATGTTTACCAACACAAGTAATATGATCAGATCTCTCTTTGACCCCAAAGAAGAGAATTAAGACCTTTTCCTAAAACTATATAACACCAAAGGAAAAAGCCCAAAATGTCAGCTATAAGCCAGAAGTTCTAGTCCTGATTCTGCTTTTAACTACCTGTGTGGCCTGGGCAAATCATTAGTTTCTCTAAAGTCGTAAGATGAGCACTCTTACTGGAACTTGCTAGACACTCAGCTGGAAGCATACCTTCCAGTGCCTGATTCTCTCATCAATTCTAGAGCTTTATTTTTGCATCTGTGCCATACCTACTTACTAGACAGAACCTATCAAAAAACAGAACTGATCTACTGCTCCTCAGAGGGAGAAGGATATGATGGGATAGAACTTTGCAATCAATGATGACCCCCCCAAATCCCACAGCCTCACATGTATACTACTTTGGGGGCTCACAGTCTGGGTTCTGGGTCATGACCTAGAACTTCTCTACTGAAGGCAGAGGTGAGGTTGGGGAGAGGGCACATACCATAGGCTTCCTCGATGAGGCCACAGTAGGGGTTGACCCCTGAGCCACTGCGCTTGCCCTCTTGCTCTCCAAGCCGAAGGATGTTCTCCAGCCCATTGAGGGCCACCTGCACAATCTTCGAATCCATCACAGTCAGCAAGTCACACAGGGGTTTGATGCAGCCCAGTGAGACCAGGTACCTAAGGGCAGAGACCGGGCAAGTTCTAAATTAACAAAGCGCAAGGGAGGTGCTAGGCAGGTGCTGTGGGGCCTGTGGGTCTCCCTCACACATCAGGACTCTGAGCAACCCCCTCTTGCTGAGCCTTCACAACCACCTATCCTTTATCTCAGTCTCTCCATCCTCCCAATGCTCCAAGTCTAGTTCATTTCCATGGGGAAGGCTGTCATAGATTCCTCTCATCTCTAATGTCCCCTTAGTGTAATGTTACCACTCTGAACACATTGCTTCCCTGCTTAAAATTTTCAGTCCAAGCTCTACAGGCATGACAAAACAGACCCTCAACAATCAGGTTCCTACCCATCATCTCCCATCACCTCCCATCATTCTCTTCCAAAGACCCTACCTTCCAAATGTGTAAACATCTCCAAGTTTCTGATTCTTGTGCCTTTACTTATGCTTTTTCCTGTCCCAAAGGGCTTTTGCAACCCTGTGTCCTTCAAAGCTTAACCAATGGCTATCCCCTTTCTCCTAAGGCTTTAAATATGTTGAATCTATTCCTACTTCTCTTCCTGGGCCACAATCTGAGGGCAAAACACTTGTCCAGTTCCCATCACCCTTACTCATGTTGATAACGGAAACCAGAATCAAAGAACGCACACACATACAGTGGATTTCTATTTGTTTCTCCCAAGTGTCACCCCCAAAAGTGATTTCCCAAAGAAGCTGTTGTGAATGAGCCACAGTTTGGTTCTCTTTCATTTATATGGATAATTGGGAATTACATGGATTTAAATTTCTCTGGAGAAAGAAGTGGAGGAGAAATGGATGTCTGTGTTATAGGTCTTTATTCTCTAGGAAGGAAAAGAAGTTCATGCTTTAGAGCAATCTATTCCAAATTTCAGTACCAATCTAGCATCTTACCAGTTAAACCAGCTGCTGGTTTAGATCTGGGGCATATCTATTCCAGAAAAGGCAGTTTAGCGGTCACTGCAGACCATGAACCAAGAAGAACAGTATACATACCACTCAAGACAATGAAAAATGAATGTGATACCTGATCTGCTCAGGGGTTCCTCCTGATGTGGCATTGGTGATGGCCCAGGCTGCCTCTTTCCTTGTACGGAACTCTGCTTTCTGAAGGATTTCGATCAACACAGGGAAGATATTTGCATCTATGACAGCCTGAGAGAAGATGGGGAGCAGGGTAGAGAGAAAGTCACTTCAAAAAGAGTAAGCAAATCTAGCCTACAAAATCAGTTATGATTCAGACATCTTCCTCTTCCTGGGAATCCTCTGTTCTCCCCGTAGAGAAGCTACAGAGGAGCCTGGCTTCTTAGAAAGAATCTTTAATAGCACATATTGGCCCCAATTTCTAAAGGGAAACAAATTCTTTCTTCTGGAAGCAAATAACCCACAACTGCTCAAGTTCCCATGCCTTCCCATCTGCTCCTGCCCTCCCCTCCACTGCTTGTACCTGTATTTGAGCCCTGTTGCCAGCGGTGATATTTGAAATGGTCCAGCAAGCTTCCTTCCGGATTGACTCCTTGGGGCTGCTCAGCAAGTGGAGGAGGCAAGGGAGGGCTGAACAGTTAAGAATGACCTAGAACACCAAAAGCACAGGAAATAAAAGAAAAATTAGGTAGACTGGACTTAATCAAAATTAAAAACTTTTGTGCATCAAAAGATACCATCAACAGAGTGAACAGGTAAGTCACAGAATAGGAGAAAATATATGCAAATCATATCTGATAAGGATTAATATCCATAATGTATAAAGAACTCTTAACAACTAAACACAAAAAAACTGAAGAACCCAATTAAAAAATGGTCAAAGGGCTTGAACAGACATTTCTCTAAAGAAATACAGATGGCAAGGGGCGCCTGGGTGGCGCAGTCGGTTAAGCGTCCGACTTCAGCCAGGTCACGATCTCGCGGTCCGCGAGTTCGAGCCCCGCGTCAGGCTCTGGGCTGATGGCTCGGAGCCTGGAGCCTGTTTCCGATTCTGTGTCTCCCTCTCTCTCTGCCCCTCCCCCGTTCATGCTCTGTCTCTGTCTGTCCCATAAATAAATAAAAACGTTGAAAAAAAAATTAAAAAAAAAAAAAAAAAAAAAAAAAAAAAAAAAAAAAAGAAATACAGATGGCCAATAAGCATATGAAAAGACACCAAACATCGCTAATCATTAGGGAAATGCAAATCAAAACTGCAATAAGATACCATTTCACACTTATCAAGGTGGCTGTTATAAAAAAACCCAGACAATACAAGTGTTGGTAAGGTTGTGGAGAAATTGGAACCTAGTATATAGCTATTGGAGGTATAAAATGGTGCAGCTAGTGTGCAAAATGGTATGGTGGTCCCTTAAAATCTTAAACATAAAATTAGCATATGATCCCGTAATGCCACTTCTGGGTATGTACCTAGAAGACTGAAAGCAGGGACTCAGATACTTTTGTACACATTGTTCAACACAGCATTATTCATAATAGCCAAAAGGTGAAAACGACCCAGGAATCTATCAACAGACAAATGGATAAACAAAATGGGATATATGCATACAATGGACTGCTTACTATTCAGCCTTAAAAAGGAATGAAGGCATGACACATGCTACATACGGATGAACCTGGAAGACATTATGCTAAGTGAAATAAGTAGACACAAAAGGACAACTATATATAGTTCCATTTATATAAGGTACCTAGAGCAATCCGCTCCTAAGAGATAAAAAGTGTTATGATGGTTACCAGGGGCTGAGGAAGGGGTGGGGAGGATGGGGAGTTATTATTAAATGGGTACAGAAAACCAGTTTGGAATGATGGAAAGTTGTGGGGATGGATGGTGTTGACAAATAACAAGGTGAATGGACTTTCTGCCACTAAACTGTACACTTAATGATAAAAGCAGTACAATTTATGTTATGAATGTTCGCACATACATGCACACGCTCGCACACGTGCACACATACACACACACACAAGAATGACCTAGGTAGTGAGTGTGGGTTTGAGTGAGATCACTCAAGATTTTGTCAAGAATCCTACCAAATTATGCCAACTCAAGACTTAAACAATACTCTGATCTCTAGCCTTTGAACAAAGGACTGTTCCTACTGTGCCCTCACTGGAAGTATTATTAACATGAGATGGGATTCTAAAGGTATTGGAAGTAGGGATAAGGTTCTGCAGCTTTTAGTGTCTCATGGGGACCAGGACTCCAAAACTTGAGAATTACCCTATAACGTCCCAGGTAGTAAGGCAGTTTACTCCACTCAGTTTTCCTTCAAAAGCTCCCAGTGGAAGATGATTTGCTTCCAACTTGTAGAAGAAACGAAGGCAACTAAGTTGCCCACAATCATACAGGAAGTGTCAAAGTTGGAATTTTTTACTCAAGCCCATGCTTTCTCTCCTTACCACACTGCCCACTCTACCCGCCCCCCACCCCCAACATCAGGGAAGGATTTTGTCTATAAACAGCTCTCTTCCTCCTTACCTGGGTTTGGATGTCATCTCCAGTGACGATGTTACCAACTGCTCTCAGGGCAGGAGAGGCCACTTTGTAATCATTGTGCCTACAGAGAAGGGAGAACGGATCAGTAGAGGGCCAGCACACAGTTATCAGCCTGCCGACCACCCAGGTTGGCAGCACTCTCATGGCTCTAGATCTTTGCAGAGAGCAGCAGAATGCTTATTGCAGTTCTTTAGTTAGAGCCTGGGAGAAACTTAGGGAATCTGTACTTTCTAATCAGACCACTCACATTAGAAGCTCTACCAATCTTCGGCAGACTCCAGAGTCTATGACCGCCTGGATCTTTTCATTGGGGCCATCGGACAGATAAGAAAGGGCCCAGCAAGCATCTGCCAGCAAGTCTGAGTCACTGCTGAAGAGTAGGCGAGACAGCACAGGCAAACAAGGGGAGACCTGTTGGAAGCAGAGTGAGAGAGACTCATGGAGGGACAGGGCTACATCAGCTCTACCACTAACCCTAACATGGCTGTCCCTTCCTCTACAAGTAATTCTAAGCCCTAGAGATTTCTCCTACATTATACCATCAGAACTACCTTTTTGACTTTGCTGTCCAAGATGCATGAGATCACCTACTTCACTGACAATTGCCTCTTCTAGTTTCCCAGGGACTGAGACTCTAAGGGGTAACCCAAAGACTTGAAAATTCCCATATCAAAATTCCTACATATGAAGGAAACTGCTTTCACTCAGGAACTGGTAAGCTCTCTTACCTTTGCAAACTCGGGGGGTGGGTTCTTTCCTCGGCAGAGGTTTGACAGGGCCCATACTGCATTCCGTGTCATTGTCAGTCTTGTGGACTTCGTAAGGAGTCTGAAGGAAACAGCAAAGTCTTAAGACAGATCCTGAGCAATGATGCCCTTGGCACAGGGCTGTCACCTATGAACCCCAGGAGCAAGTCCAATCAGACCCTTAAGATTTTTGCAGCCTCACCTTGTCTTCCAACCCAGAGACCTAAGTTAACTGTGCTTGTCTGGACCAGGAGGCCTGACCTACATCTTCACAGAGAATTAGGACCAGCTGTGGCTAGTTAAGACCACAGCTAATAAGGACAAAGGGCTGGAATTTGAGTAGGTCTGAAAACCTTTTAAGGTAGGACATACTGTGCCTCTAACCGTGGCCACGAGATCTAAACAAGGAATACTTTTATTTCTCCTTGGAAATAAAAGCTAAAGGTCTGTGAAGGGCCCAAGAAAGAGTTATAGTGGTAGTCTACGGGGCTGTGGTCTCGGAAGAACGGTTTATCTATCTGTTTTGGTTTAGATGAAGTTCTATTTGAGGGTATGGGAGGGACGGACGGGAGAAGGACTCCTATGCTCCTTCATGGGGTCTTTGATCTGTGCTTTACAACAGAGCTCTCCAATGTACCTATGCATAAAATGATAAATCAATGCATTCTTTAGAGAAGGTTGGATTTTTCCAGATGCGCTAGTCTTGCCTCTCTCTTCTGGCTCAATGATGAGGTAGGTATGACCAACACTAGAATCTATAGTGCCATACAGTCAGGAAACAGAAGACTGTACTCAGCAAAGACCAGTGGCACAATCTTCTTACTCTCAAAAGATACCGATCTTTTACCTTGGCAATGAGCATACTTTTAGTGTTTTTGCATTTACTTAACATCTTAATGTAAGCTGCCCCGAAAAGATCTGCCATGTGTCTGCCTTATAGATGCCCCTGCTGCAGATGATCATAATTACTCACGTTAACAAAGGATTAAGGATGGAACAGTTCAAGACGTAATCTCGGCAAACGGAGCTGTCTCCAGCTATGTTTCCCAGTGCCCAGACTGCCTGAAAAGGGGACGGTGGAAGTGTCACTCACAGACTCTAGTGGCTCCTGTCAATATTTTACACCAGAGTGAGTACCCATCAGTAACTAGGACAAAAACCGTATCAAGGTCCAAGACATCCCGAACAGGATCAGGTACCCTCCTTGTTGACATCCTTATTGAGCACTTGTTCTATGACGGCCTTTCCTCTGGGAGTTCTTGGCTTGGTGGGAAAGATAGGCTGACATCTGTACTGCAGCCTAAGAAGCCAAACCAAGACCTCCCTATGCCCACTCTCCAGAAAAAGAGAGTGATTGGAAAGTTGCATTTTTGCAGCCTGAGAGGATCTACTCCATATGTAGTAACGAAGGAAAAAATCTTGGTACCACTTTCCATTTTCTATCCAATCAATAAAGTCCAGTGAAGAAATGCAAGTTGTGTCTTTATCTCTACGATGTGTACGTAGTGAGAAATAGGTACTGTGGTGTCTTTTTTCCAATACTACCTACCTCTGATGCCAAATGTTATGTTTTTTCCCCTACACCAGCAATCAATTCTCCCACATCATTTTTGTGTCCAACAATCCAATTCAATTCTGACATTAAGCTTAGAGTTAGCGCAGACCCCACAGGTTAAGGGCTCGGGCCCACAATACTACCCCCACTTTAAACACTAGTCACAATTCCTGGGTGTCATAATACTACTAACCAACTGGTTATAAATGCAAAAGTTCCCATAATGCCCTCCTCAGTTTCAGTAGTTCACTAGAATGATTCACAGAACTCAGGAAAACACTTTACTTTCATCTACTAGCTTACTGTAATGGACACAGCTCAGAAAGAGCTAAATGGAAGAGATGCATTGGGCAAGGTATGGGGTGAGAGGTCAGGGTGGTGCAGAACTTCTGTGCCCTCTGCAGGGCACCACATCAATGTGTTCACCAACCCAGAAGCTCTCTGGGGAGGTGGGGTGGAGGGATGGAAGAGTTGGGGGTTCTGATGACAACCCCCTCATCTTGACGCTGTCTAGGAACCCCACCCAGTCATCTCATTGGGTGTGTTCCATTATAAATAGCAAAAGACACTCCTATCACTCAGAAAATTCCAAGGTGTTTAGGAATTTTTAGGAACCGGGGACAAAGACCAAATGTATTTGTTATTATGATACATGTACTATCAAGAATTAAGCCAAACTTGAGCATTACCTGTTCCTGTACATCCTCAAAGTCTGAGTTAAGCAGGTCTATAAAAATGGGGACGGCCCCTGCTTCAATGACAATCTTGGTCTGCTGAGAGGTTCCAGAGGCAATGTTCGTTAGAGCCCAGGCAGCTTCAAACTGGAAGTGAGATTAAGCCATGACTGAGAGGTCATTCCAGACACAGCAGCCATGCCTACCAGCTGGTTGAGAGCAGTAGGCCTCTTGCCCCTGACTAAAACACTAAAACTTGAGCCTTTTCCTCTTCTCCTTTAAATGACAAAACACAGTATGGGCAGTGATGTGACACAACGGGAAGAATGGACCTGGGCTTCAATGGTCCCAAGTCTAGCTCTGCACTATCATAGCACCCGAGTCCTTTGGCAAGTTGATTTCCTGAACTTCATTCACATTCTTCGTTTCTGAAACCAGTATTAGAGTGACACGTGTGACTCAAAGTCCCTTTCAGCTGAGTTTCCGGTTAAGTTTTAATGCATTGACTCATCACTCATTTTTGAAAAGAGAGACGCAGAGGAGCTAAATGATTTGCTTCAGGTCACACAGGTAATTAGAGGTACGAGATCACTGGGGTGTCTGTCTGGGTGGCTCACTTGGTTAAGCGTCCAGACTTCGCCTTAGGTCATGATCTCGTAGTCTGTGAGTTCGAACTCCACGTCAGGCTCTGACAGCTCAGAGACTGGAACCTATTTCAGATTCTGTGTCTCCCTCTCTCTCTGACCACCCCCTGCTTGCACTCTCTCTGTCTCTCAAAAGATGAATAAATGTTAAAAAAAAAAAAAAGAAAAAGTAGATATATATTTTAAGTAAACTAACAACGCTGAGATCAAGAGTCGCATGCTCTACCGACTGAGCCTGCCACGCACCCCAGAACCTTTGATTTATAACTGAATAATCAGCCTGTCTTATTCTGGTGTCCTTCGAGATTGTTTTAGAGAAGAGGTTTTGGCTCTCTTATCTGAGGCCAAGACCTCTGAAGCATCTCTTAAATAGTTCCTCATATTACTTGTCTATTTCCTGAGAGATGCGTCTATAGAAACGCTCAACTACAATTTCTTGGAAAAGGGGCTTTCATCTGGTACCCCTCTACACCAGTCCTCACCTGTAATGTACAATTCTCATTCCTCTTCAGAAACTCTACAAACCGATCCACCACTCCTGGAGTGTTGATAACTTCATCTATTGGCGGACTAGGCTCTGGAAGAGGGGAGAAAGGAAAGAGAGGAAAAGTCAGGAGAGATTTCGGCTGGTGCATTGACTGGGGTTGGTCTATCATCCTTCCTAGGTAGTCCTGACCGTTCTTATCAACATTTCCAAACTCCTTTTTGGTGAGGTGGTTTTCACAATAGTCGGTCATTTTTGAACTGTGTGATCTAGGTAGGATGCTAAAGAGAAAACCAATCCCTAATTTAGGTATACTTGCCTTTGGCTTCCTGAAACTAAGCAAGCAAGTAATTAAGGAAAAGAAAGCCCAAGAAATGGGCAACCCTAGTCTAAATATTTCCCGTCTAAGAAGAGCATTCTTTTATCGGCAGGACTGCTTCATTTACTGAGACAAGAAGTATTTTTCCTATCATACATCACATCTTTATTGAGGACAAACTATGTGCCAGTTCTAGGTACCGAGAACACTACAGTGAACAAAGTCAAATGTCTCTGCCCTTACAGAGCTTATGTCCTAACGAGGAGAGACTTTCTATTATATTAATAAGTGTCATGGGAAAAAAAAAAAAAGAGGTAGGGCAGGGTAAGATTAAGAATGCTGAGAGTGAAGGGGATCTGCTTTTTTATACAGGGCATCAGGGTAGGCTTGTTGAGAACCTAAAATATGATCATGCAAGTGGGGAGTCGTCACAGGTATCTGCAACCAGAGGATATCAGGCAGAGGGAACAGAGGGAACAGAGGGAACAAAGGTAAGAATGTGCCTGGCTTGTCCATGGAACACCAAAGCAGTATGACTAGAGTAGAACGAGTGAAGGGGAACAGCAAATGAGGTCAGTGAAAGGAAACATAAGGTTAAATCAGTAAGGCCTTCTGGGGAAGACCAGGATTTGTACCTTTGGAGAGCAGTTTCCGGAATTTCTGTGTGGTTGCTAACTGTAGGTCAGAATCATCAGAAAAGAGCATCTCCACCATCTCTCGTGTGATCACGCTCTCCTAGAACATAAGACAGATTTAAGACTTGGCAAACCAACACTAGAGCTAGATATGAGCACACACCCCTGCTTGGCATCCTGCTTGTTAAAGACTTGAGGGCAAGAGGATGGCATAACAGCAGGCTCAGGAGAAGGTGTTTGTTTAATTCATGGCTGCTTCAAGTTGGGATATTTGAATGATTCCTAACCTCTGAGGCAAATAAGGGCTTCCCTTAAAATGTTTTCTCAGGTGTCTCCATCACAGACGTAACCCTACTGATTCTTTAAGCCAACCAGCTACAAAAGGGCCCATGGAAGAAAGAGCTTAGCGTGGTTGTTGCCAAAGCCACTAGATGATGTGAACTGCCTGTTCTGTACACATTGGTACTTCCCAGGCCTGCCTGAAGCACATGTAAGGGCCTTACCCCAGTGGTAGAGCTCACATAGGAGTCCATGAGGAGACTGTCAAACATGGCGGCTTCTTCATTAATCAGCTCCACATTTCTCCGTTTAAAAAGCTGAAAGTAAAGAAAAGATATAGTGGTAAAACTACTCACTGTAATAAAGAAAACAAAGAATGATCCAATGTTAAATTATGTCAATAATTGCCAAGGAAATGCTAGGATAGTTGAGACAATGCCAAGCTTAATATATGGACATGGAAAGGTATCTAAGCACTTGACTGTTTTATATCTAATTGTTTGAAGTTTTTTAGAGAACATTCTCTATTTTTTTAAAGTAAGCTCTATGCCCAAAGCAGGGCTTGAACTCATGACTCTGAGATCAAGAGTCATATGGTCTACCGACTGAGCCAGCTGGCCAGGTGCCCCTAAGAGACCATTTAAAGATTTCTGTGCCCTTTGTATAAAAGGTGATGGATATAAAAGGCTTTGAAGGAAAGGAGTAACAGTAAAGCAAGAGGGTGGGCACAAGCAGGTTAGGTGACAGCATCTAGACCAGGGCAAGGCACCAATCTGTTGGTGGTGTGCGGTGGAGCATAGCTGATAAGGCATTCATACAGTCTCAGTCCTAGGGAGACTTCCAGAGAATGGACTGAAGACATAGAAGTAAGGCAGTCCAGAATAGCTGATGAACCTCTTAAGGCGTCAGGCCTAATGCTGACTATAGGGGTGAAGAAGAGAGAAGGCAACAAGGGGCTAGAACTAGAATGTTATACAGAAGACATACATGATGTCTATGTTGTTCTAAATTGTGGAAAAGGAGTAAGGGACTGGTTCTTTTCTTCGAAGCTTCCAACACTTCTCTACAATAAAGAAAGCTGGATGAGTGGCCCCAGAGCTAAGCTGTTTTCCCAAGGGGAAAGGAAAAATAAATGCAAGGAGCAGCCCAACCATGGCAGCTGGATCATTTCCCTGAACAGTATGTTTGAGCATATTCAGGTTAACCTACTTGTTGTTCCCGTTTCTGCTTCCGGAGCTGAATGCCCTCTTCCTCTCTTCTTCGTCTCATTTCCTCAGGGTTTAGGGCATTGTTCTTATAGCTCTTCATTCGATAATTGTCTTTCCCTGGGCTCGCCATGGTCTCTAGAAAAAGAGAAGATACAAATATAAAGGCTCTTAAGAGGACAGCATTTCCTTTTCACTGGGCTTCGGTTCCACCCGGCCTCCCAACCCCCCCTACTCAAGGGGACTGAAGCTCCTCGAGGAGGGCTGATAATCTCAATAACTTAACACCTGACATCTCATCTTTAAAACATGGACATAACTATTCGTACTTCAGAGAGTTGTGGGAGGGATTAAATAGGTTAATACTACTGTGAAGTATTAGAACGATGCTAGGCCATATGGTAAATGGTCACAAGTTATGATCCCTCTATGACAACAGAGAAAACTTGACTTGCTCAATAAACTTGAAAACATCTAATTCAGTGAGATACTGTTATCTTTAACGTCCACCATCTATCTTTCAAATTAAAAAAATTTTTTTTAATTTATTCTGTAATATTTGATAAAAACAAAGAGATGAAATATAATGTTACCAAGCAAAATAATACAATGAACATCTGTAAACCCACCACCAAATCTAAACTAGAACATTACCAATATGCCTGAATCTACTTGTGGGCTCTCATTCTATCACAGGCTCCTCCAGTCCCACCCCAACTCCAGGCAAAAGGAAAATGCTATCCTGAATGGCATGCATGTTGAGAAAACATCTGCCCAATATCTAAGTCTGAATAATAGTCTGTCATTCAGTCACGTGAAAATAGCGGCAATTAAAAAAAAAATTCTCAGATAGTTAACAAGTAGTGTTCTATTAATTACAGTGTTATATCAGCATACAATATAGTGATTCAACAACTGTATACACTAGTTAGTGCTCATCAAGGTAAGTGTGCTCTTACTCCCTTTCACCTATTTGACCCATTCCCCTGCCATCGCTTCCTTTCTGGTAACCATCAGTTTGTTGTCTAAGTTAAGTCTGTTTTCCTGTTTGTCTCTTTTTTCCTTAAAAACAGTTTCAATTTATAAAGCGTCTGATTTAGCTAGTAACTTAATCACCACAGGCGATCTTCCTCCAGACACATTTTCAAAGGTTGGATTTGTCCTGTTGCATCAAGGACATAGCAATTTTTTTCCCCAACAGTGAGTGAGCTAGTGGCAAATATATGGACTACTAGTACACTTTGGTGCCACTGTGTTGATTTGTGCTAAGACACCAGAACTTTTCCCATCATTGCTTTTGTACTACTTTTGCAGTACAAATGTCAAAATAGTAAAAACGGCAAATAACATCTTTACAACTTTTTTCCAGCTATAGAGATATAAGTGATCTATAACCTGTTTTTTTTGTTTTTGTTTTGTTTTTTTTTTTTTTTAAGTTTATTTATTTATCCAGAGAGTGAGAGGAAAGGAGGGGCAGAGAGGGAGGGAGGGAATCCAGTGCAGGTTCCAGGCTAACAGCTCAGATCTCAAGAACGAGGAGATCATGACTGGAGCTGAAATCAAGAGTCAAATGCTTGACCGAAGGAGCAACGAATGCATGCGCGTGCACGCACTCGCTCTATCTACCATCTACCATCTACCTACCTACCTACCTACCTAACTACCTACCTACCTATCTAAGTAGGCTTCATGCACAGCACAGAGCTTAACATGAAGCTTGAACTCGTGACCCTGAGATCAAGAATTGGATGCTTAACTGACTGAGTCACCCAGGCACCCCAACAGAATACTAGGCAGCCTTTATTTTTCTCTTAGCAACCTTAAAGTATATAATACAGTGCTGTTAACTGTAGTCACAAGCTATACATTAGATCCCTAGCACTTATTCACCTTACAACCAAAGTTTGTACCTGTTGACCACCTTCATCCATTTCCCCAACCCCACCCCTGGCAACCACCAATCTACTGTTTCTAAGAGTTTGGTCTTTTCATATTCTACATGTACATGTATTTGTATTTGTCTTTCTTTGCCGCTTAGCTCGTTATTTAATTATTTATTTTCATAATAGCCATCGTAACAGGTGTGAGGTGGTATCTCACTGTGGTTTTGATTTGCATTTCCCTGATGATTGGTAATGTTAAGCACTTTTTTCATGTACCTGTTGGCGATTCTATGTCTGCTCTGGAAAAACGTCTATTCAGGTCCTTTGCCCATTTTTAATTGGAGTACTTGGGGTTTTGTTGTTGTTGTTACTGAGTTGTATGGGCTCCTTATATATTTTGGATACTAACTCCTTATCAGATACATGGTTTGCAAATATTTTCTCCCATCTTATAGGTTGCCTTTTCATTTTGGTGCAAGCTTTCTTGTTTGATGTAGTCCCACTTGTTTATTTCTGCTTTTGTTGTGTTTTTGGTGTCATATCCAAAAAATCATTGCCAAGAACCAAGGTCTTATTTCCCATGTTTTCTCCTAGGAATTTTATAGTTTCAGTTTCTACCAATTAAGTCTTTGATCCATTTTGAATCGGCAGATAACATTTTATTTTTTTTATTTTTTTCGATATATGAAGTTTATTGTCAAATTGGTTTCCATACAACACCCAGTGCTCATCCCAAAAGGTGCCCTCCTCAATACCCATCACCCACCCTCCATCAACCCTCAGTTTGTTCTTAGTTTTTAAGAGTCTCTTATGCTTTGGCTCTCTTCCATTCTAACCTTTTTTTTTTTTCCTTCCCCTCCCATGGGTTTCTGGTAGTTTCTCAGGCTCCACATAAGAGTGAAACCATATGGTATCTGTCTTTCTCTGTATGGCTTATTTCACTTAACATAACACTCTCCAGTTCCATCCATGTTACTACAAAGGACCATATTTCATTCTTTCTCATTGCCACGTAGCACTCCATTGTGTATATAAACCACAATTTCTTTATCCATTCATCAGTTGATGGACATTTAGGCTCTTTCCATAATTTGGCTATTGTTGAGAGTGCTGCTATAAACATTGGGGTACAAGTGCCCCTATGCATCAGTACTCCTGTATTCCTTGGGTAAATTCCTAGCAGTGCTATTGCTGGGTCATAGGGTAGGTCTATTTTTAATTTTTTGAGGAACCTCCACACTGTTTTCCAGAGTGGCTGCACCAATTTGCATTCCCACCAACAGTGCAAGAGGGTTCCC